GGTGGGCACCGAGCACTGAGGTCTGGCCCCTCTGCCTTATGTCCTCCCTCTCTGCCAGGTCCTGGGGAGTCAAAGAAAGTGCAGCAGCTGGAGGAGCAGGTACAGAGCCTCACCAAGGAGCTGCAGGGCCTTCGGGATGTCCTGCAGGGACTGAGTGGGCGCCTGGCGGAAGATGTCCAGAAGGCTGTGGAGACAGCTTTTAATGGGAGGCAGCAGCCAGCAGATGCAGCTGCCCGCCCTGGTGTGCATGAAACCCTCACCGAGATCCAGCAGCAGCTACAGCTCCTGGATAAGCGTGTCTCCACCCATGACCAGGAGCTGGGCCATCTCAACAACCATCACGGTGGTGGTGGTGGTGGCGGTGGCGGCGGCGGCGGCGGCGGCGGCAGTGGTGGTGGTGGCGGTGGCGGGGGCAGAGCCCTGGACCCAGCCCCAGCCTCCCCCGGCCACAGTGAGGAGCTGCTGCGGGAGCTAGAGCGGCGGCTGCAGGACTCCTGCTCTGTGTGCCTGGCTGGACTGGATGGCTTCCGCCGGCAGCAGCAGGAGGACCGGGAGCGGCTGCGTGGACTGGAGAAGTTACTGGCCTCTGTGGAGGAGCGGCAGCGGCAGCTTGCCAGGCAGGCCGTGGGCCACAGGCCCCCTCAGGAATGCTGCCCTCCGGAGCTGGGCGGGCGACTGGCAGAGCTGGAGCGGAGGCTGGAGGTCGTGGCCAGTTCAGTGAAAGTGCTCAGTGGGCAGAGAGGCGCCGAGCTGGAAGGTGCAGAGGGGCACGGAGGCCATCCCCCAGGCTACACCAACTTGGCATCCCGCCTCTCCCACCTGGAGGACCGATTCAACTCTACCCTGGGTCCCTCACAGGAGCAGCTGGAGGGCTGGCCTGGGCGTCCTGGGGGACTGAGTCACTGGCTTCCTGCTGCCAGGGGCCGGCTAGAGAAGCTGGAGGGGCTGCTGGCCAATGTGAGCGGGGATCTAGGTGGCAGGCTGGACCTGCTGGAAGAGCAGGTGGCGGGGTCTGTGCAGGCATGTGGGCAACTCTGCTCTGGAGCCTTGGGGGAGAAGGACTCCCAGGTCAGTGAGACCCTCAGTGCCTTGGAGCGTAGGGTGCTCGACAGTGAGGGGCAGCTGCGGCTGGTGATCTCAGGCCTGCACAAGGTGGGAGCAGCTGGGGAGGCCCGGCAGGGCACGCTGGAGGGACTGCAAGGGGTCGTAGGCCAGCTCCAGGGTCGTGCCGATACTCAGGATGAGACAGCTGCAGAGTTCGCACTTCAGCTGAACCTCACAGCTGCACGGCTGGGCCAACTGGAGGGTCTGCTGCAGGCCCGTGGGGATGAGGGCTGCGGGGCCTGCGGTGGTGTCCAAGAGGAACTGGGCCGCCTTCGGGATGGGGTGGAGCGCTGCTCCTGCCCCCTGCTACCTCCACGGGGCCCTGGGGCTGGCCCAGGTGTTGGGGGGCCAAGCCGTGGGCCCCTGGATGGCTTCAGCGTATTTGGGGGCAGCTCTGGCTCAGCCCTACAGGCCCTGCAAGGAGAGCTTTCCGAAGTTATCCTCACCTTCAGCTCCCTGAATGACTCACTGCACGAGCTCCAGACCACTGTGGAGGGCCAGGGCGCTGATCTGGCAGACCTGGGAGCCACCAAGGACCGCATCATCTCTGAGATTAACAGGTTGCAGCAGGAGGCCACAGAACATGTTATGGAAAGTGAGGAGCGCTTCCGAGGCCTGGAGGAGGGACAGGCACGAGCTGGCCAGTGCCCCAGCCTAGAGGGGCGATTGGGCCGTCTCGAGGGAGTCTGTGAGCGGCTGGACACGGTGGCTGGGGGACTGCAGGGTCTACGCGAGGGCCTTTCCAAACATGTGGCTGGGCTCTGGGCCGGGCTACGGGAAACCAACAGCACCAGCCAGACACAGGCAGCCCTGCTGGAGAAACTGCTGGGGGGGCAGGCGGGCCTGGGAAGGCGACTTGGTGCCCTGAACAGCTCAATGCTGCTCCTGGAGGACCGGCTTCACCAGCTCAGCCTGAGGGACCTCACTGGTGAGGGGGCAGGAGGAGGCCTGGGGTGGTCGTGGGGGGGACCCCTTTCACATCCTTTCTCCCTCTGTCACAACAGCCCAGCCTTAATCTCATCTACTTTTGCCTTGCTCGGCCCGGCATGAAATGCAGACCCACCACTGTGCCGGGGTTGGTCTGTTGACAAGAGATGATCCAAGGCCTCAGCTGCCCGCCCCCCTGCTGGTGGCTCAGACCTGGCTGGGGGTGGAGGTGGGGCACTGCTCAGCCCACCAGGTATCCTGCATGGGCAGCGAGGGGTCCCATCTACCTGTCTGTGGAGTCCTTTACCTCTTTGTCCTTTGGAAACTCCTTTTCTGGCTTTTCTTCAACAGACTTTTGTCACTGTAGGTCCTGCAGGTGAGGCGGGGCCCCCAGGGCCTCCTGGAGTACAGGGACCCCCAGGCCCTGCTGGACCTCCAGGACTGCCAGGCAAGGATGGACAAAAGGGGCCTACTGGGCCACCAGGTATGTGGGCTGAGATCCTTGCCACAGCCAAGGTTACCACCTCTCAGGGCAGCCCCAGGTTTGACATTCCCCTCTGAACTTGACAGGGAAGGAGGGAAAGAGGCAAGAACTGGGGGGTCCTAGATGGCTGACAGTGATTAGGAAAGTGACTAGGAGCCGGACAGTTGCTGGGATGGTTGCTGTGTTGGCTAGTTGGATATGGCGGCCTCACTGCTGAGCTGAAGACCAAGGTTGAGCCCACAAGCATTGGGTCAGGTGTGAAAGGGTGAGGGCTAAGTGCACAGGCCCAGCAGTTAAGTAGCCTGGACCTGTTCCTCCTTCTCTTGACACCCCCATTCCTGCCTTGGAGCCTGTGCAGCGAGCACCTGGCAGAGCTGCTGGACAGACTCGGCAGATGTTTGCTCAGTGACTTAGATAGACCTGCTCTACATCTCACTGCTCCCTTTCCTCCTCCCACAGGTCCCCAAGGTGAACAGGGTAAGTTCCCATTTGATGCTGGAGGAGGGGAACTAACTGAACCAGGGGTGGAGGATGGAAGGCCTCGGGCAGCCCTGGGGTAGAGACTCTGGAGGGGAAGGGGGCTGGGCAGCTCTGCAATGAGCATCTGCTCTGACACCCATCCTATCCTCGCCCAGGAGTGGAGGGGGCCCCAGCAGCGTCTGTGCCCCGGGTGGCTTTTTCAGCTGCCCTGAGCTTGCCCCGGTCTGAACCAGGCACAGTGCCCTTTGACAGAGTCCTGCTCAATGACGGGGACTACTACGATCCGGAGACCGGTGAGCACCTGGGGGACGGGGGCAGAGAGCCGGCGGGGAAGCTGCGCAGTGGCATGTTCTCATTCTTGCCCGTTTAGGCAAGGCGAATCTCTTCACGCTCTGATTTGGGGAGAACGCTGTTCTTTCCTGCATTTATTCATTCTCACCACAGCTTGGGGAGATGTCATTCCTTCAACAGCTCTTTACTGGGGGCCTGCTCCTGCCCAGGCCCTGTTTTGAGCACTGGGGGCGGCGCAGGGGGCGGGGATGCTGTAATGAACAAAATGCCCACGTGCCCTGCCTTCGTGGAGCTTACCTCTCATCGAAGAGAAGTGAAAAGACCCAGCAGGTCGCTCCTAGTCCAGGGGTTCTGGGTCTGGAAGCCTTCCCAGCCCCTGCTACCTGTCTCTTTTGACTGCCATCCTTGTCCCCAGGCATATTCACCGCCCCACTGGCCGGACGCTACTTGCTGAGCGCAGTGCTGACTGGGTACCGGCATGAGAAAGTAGAGGCTGTTCTGTCCCGCTCCAACCTGGGCGTGGCCCGCATAGACTCCGGTGGATACGAGCCTGAGGGCCTGGAGAATAAGCCGGTGGCCGAGAGCCAGCCCAGCCCGGGCGCCCTGGGCGTCTTCAGCCTCATCCTGCCGCTGCAGGCTGGCGACACTGTCTGCATCGACCTGGTCATGGGGCAGCTGGCGCATTCAGAGGAGCCGCTCACCATCTTCAGCGGAGCCCTGCTCTACGGGGACCTGGAGCTAGAACAGGCGTAGGCAGGGGGCAGGTCGACCGGCCTGAAGTGTCTCTGCCAGCCAAAGAGCCATCGGGGGCGGCGGGCTCCCGCCCGGGCCTGGGCACCGGCCCGGCACTCCAGCCCTCGGCGTGTCGCAGTCTCCAGACCCGCGGCGGCAAAGGCACCCAGCGCAGCCTCCTCCCCACTCCCCGGGAACGGAGTGCGTCAGGTTGGGGTCTCCGGAGTCCCCTCGTCCAGACTTTCGGCCTGACTGGACCCGGACTGCGGAGGAGCAGATCCTGGTAGCCTAGAAGCCCCCCACGACTGGCTTCTAGGCCGACTTCCTGGGTTCCAGGGGTCTCCCGAGGGTGCTCGGGCTCCCACCGCCATACTAAACTATTCAGGAATAAAGACACTTGGTTTTTATAAAAAAGAACAAAACAAAACACACCGTCTGCTTTAGTATGTTCGGGGGTACACAGGAGTAAAAAGGGGCAGAATAGGGAAGCCCCAGGTTCCAAATAGACCGGCGTCCTCCACTTCGTGCCGCGTAGCACGGCTGCCAGGTGCGTCGGCGGTTCAGAGCCCCACTGGGACCCTCTTCCGGGTCACACGAGTTCCGCCGTTGTCCACCAGGGGGCGCGGAGCGCTGTCTCTGGTCACGTGACCACCACTCACCTAGGTACTCCCGCCTCTGGCTGGGACTGGCTGTGGCTGGGCTGTGCCTGGGGGCAGGCCAGCTGCAAAGCTTCGGCTGACTCCGAAAGGCCACTGTTAAGACGCCAGCTCAAACCTATGGGTCTAGCGGGTACAGTGGGAGCCACTGATGCAGGAGAGGGCAGGGCAAGGGTCATCTTTCTACAGCCCTCTTTTTTTTTTTTTTTTTTTTTAATGGTCATGAGGTTGCCTAGCTGTGCTTTAGACAGGTTTGCATTAGCACCGAGTCCGTCTGATACATGAGGAAACTGAGGCCGGGAAGTGGGAGGCGTTGCGGTCTGCTGGGCCACGAAACCTGCTAAGGCGAGGCCCGGGACCAAGACATCGGGCCTGCGCTCCCAGCCCCTTGGGTCCGTGGGCGTGGGGAGCTAGGGCCCTACTGCGTTCTTGGCACCCCTCTGCAAACCTGCCGTTGCAGGAGGCTCCCTGGAGGAGGAGCTAGGGGCTCGGAGGAGGAGCCAGGAGGCTTTGGGGAGCGGGAACACAACCTTGCAGGATAAGAGCCAGAGCCCGGGAGCAATCCCTGCAGCCCTGCAGGCAGAAAGCTCCGGGAGTGACCTCATGGAAGAAAAGCAGATCCTATGCGTGGGGCTAGTGGTGCTGGACATCATCAATGTGGTGGACAAGTACCCGGAGGAGGACACGGACACCAGGTAGGGGCGCCTGGACCCCCCAGAAACTCCAAGGGCCGCTGCAGCCCTGCATTTGTGCCTGGCGTTCAAGACTACAGGGCTGGGGCCCTTGCCCTGTGTCTGGGGCCTGGTGAAAGAATTGAGTCCATTAGTGATAAGACCCAGGCTCCTGATAGCATTGTGTTCGCCAGTTCCCATTTCAACCCTGGGACTGTGTCAGGCTTGATTATCACTATCTTACCCATAAACAAGTAGAGACTCTGAGAGGCAAAGTGGTTTATCTAAGGGCATGCACCTAGTACAAGTGGGGTCAATGTTTGTTTTTTAACAAGACCTATGCCCTTGCCTCTTACTAGCATTTGCTTCTAATTTATTTGCCACATATATGCCTCATCTCTTTCCTTTAAAAAAAACTGAGACAGCTTACAATAAGAAGTGTATATTGTTAGATAGGCAAGAAGATTTAAAGCCATGGTATTTGAACTACGCTGTAGCTCAGGGCTTGCAGACCCTGGGAGGACCTGTAAGTGTTGTGGGTCATGGACAGAGCTGGTTCATGTGCCAGCACAGACTTCACCCTGGTGCTAAATTCCGAAAGGAGTTTACCAGAAGTCCTTGTTACAAAAGTCAGTTGGCAGCATAGTGGAAAACATCCACCTCTGTTGTCTGGTGGAAGTTGGAGAGTCATTTGCTAGTTCTTCTATTTGCTCTTGATAAGAAGTACACCGTTACACCATAATCCCAGGAAAGCATTTCTGTGGGTGAAACACAGGGCTTTCCCTTGAGGAAGGCTAACATTTGGAATACACAGAATTGTCTCAGTCAAGAACTGGATGAAAGGCCAGCTCAAGGCTGAGCTCAGTGAGACCAGGCGGTGCTCAGGCTTTGGGCCCACCAAGCACAGTCACACGTGTCACCACACTTTCCTCACGGCAGCCCATGTGAATGGTGTAAAGACCAGTCAAGTTTTTGTTTTTTTTATGGATGTGGAAGATGTGGAGAAAATAAACAATTTCTCTAAGGCCACGAGGTCAGTACGTGGTGGAGCAGTGATCAGAGCCCAAGCCCCCCAAGTCCGAGTCTTGTGCCCCAGCCCTCCGCCATCTCTTGTGCTCCCTTTCTCGTTGCTCCTGCCTGTCTTGTGGAGCCAACCCTTTGCTTTGGGCTTTATTTGCCAGAAGTTAGAGCTTCTTGCCGGGGGTGCAGGGGCAGTGGGAGAGAGGCACAGGGTGCACCCACCCACCAAGATGAAGACAGCCCCAGGACAGGGTGCCCAGAAGGGAGTTCGGCTTGCCCTCGGGGCAGCAGTGCACATTCTGGAGCCACAGGTCCTCCGAGGACTAGGAGGGGCCTGAGGAAGACCCAGAGCGGCTCTTTCAACCAGACCCGGAGCCCCATGGAAGTTAGAATGGGGGACATCCTGCCACTCTGCCTAGGGCTGCTTCTGAAGGTGGGTATGAAGTGAGGTGCCTCTCTGAAGAGACCTTGCCCATGTTCTCTGTGTCCCTGCCCTTCAGGGTGGGCCTCCTGCCCCCCCAGACCCACCACTCTGCTCCTCTGCGGAGCACTGCAGTTGTCTTTAGGGCCTGCTCCCATTGCGCCCAGCCCAGCTCCTGGACTCTAGCGTGCCTCCCAGATGAGCAAGCGTGAGCCGGGGAACCCAGTCCTTCGAAGCCATCTCAGCCCCACCTGTCCCAGGCTGTCTGCGCTCTACAGGCAGCTGGGGACTCTCAGGACAGTCTCCAGGTGGTGGGCCAGACCCCTGGAGAATGGCCCTGCCTCCCAGAGTCCAGGCCAAGAAGAGCCTTCCAGAAAGCATCTTCATGTTCAGCAGAGCCTTTCTGCACATAAACTTGGGTATCACTGTGACTTTGAGGGGTTTCCACAGAGTAAAACTGTGTACTCATTCTTTGAAACCTCACCCTCCCTGGGGCCCGACTACCTTCCATTAAAAAATACAGAGTGTATCGCAGTGGTGTGGGAGCCAGGAAAACTGGGTTCTGATACCAGCTTTGTCATTAACTGCTGGTGTGACTTTGAGCAAGTCAGATCCCCCTAGACATCTTCTGTCTTCTCTGAATGAAAATTTCTCTAAAGCTCATAGCCTGAGAAACGTTTGACCCTTTACAAATTAGTACTTTTCTTTCTAATACAATGGTGGTCCCCTTTCCTGAGGCAGAAGGGAAGCTCAGGGTTAAGTTTTGTGTACAAGTACATCTCTGTCTAAAAATTCTGATGCACTTATTTCCCTTAATTAGTGATTGTTTGGTACTCGTTCCTCTGATTATAACCTGCTACAGTTGTTGTTGTTATTATTATTATTTTGGAGCTGGGAGAAGAGAAATAGCAGCCTGCACTGTTTCCCTCACAGTTTTGTTGGAGCGCAAATGAGAAATTACTAAAGTGTTTTGACTTCATATACATAAGGTATCACTTTTGTTGTTGAAGATGACAGTGAAGTCAAACAGATGTGCGATGAGTTGTTTTCCTCTTGTTAGACTTTCAGCACAGAGGGAGGAAAAAAGGTAATGATGCAAAGGGATAGACGGCTCAGTGAACCTTACTGTGGAAATCATTTCGTCACGTGTATGTATCAGAATTACGCGGTGCTTCTTCAACTCACAAAACCTCATAGGTCAACTATATTTCAGTAAAGTTGAAAAAAGGGAAACAAATAAATGAAAAGGGTGGAGGAAAAATGGATCTTCACCGAATAATCTCTTCAACTTAAAAAAAAATGTTATTTATTTTTAGAGAGAGGGGAAGGGAGGGAGAAAGAGGAGAGAAGCAGTAATGTGTGGTTGCCTCTCACGCACCCCGTACTGTGTCCTGACTGGGAATTGAACTGGCAACCCTTCGGTTTGCAGGCTGATGCTCAATCCACTGAGCCCCTCCAGCCAGGGCTTTTCAGCTTTTGACATCATAATATTTAGCTCCCCTCCGCTTGCGTGATCACAACGTCCAGGTTCATCTCTCTTATTCAGTTTACGCTGAGTTATTATCAAAGCACCTCTCCTGGGACGGGAGCAGGTGGTAGATTTGATACCTTTGGAAAGGGGCACTCGGGCGTTGTCCAGCTCTCACTGGGAGGCTGACACACAGCAGCTCCACCTGGGGCAGGTGGGCCATTGACATGGAGGAGGCACTAACCCGGAGGGACTGAAACCCCCAGTTGTAATGAACCTGACTGAGTGGTTTCCTGATGTCATAAGAATGGGTGGGAGATATAAATTAATTGCTGTGAACTTGAATTTAGCCTGGGCTGAGGAGACAGCCCTGGCTGAGCCTTAGCTGCCCATCTAGAAACGAGAAGACTGGTCTGGATGTGCTCTGGGGCAGTTCTGTTAGCGTTCACATTCTGTGGGCCCTGCCCAGGGCACCGTGTTCAGCCGTGCTCACCCCAGGATGAGCCTGCTGGAGCTGCAGGACCCCCCCCCTTGTGTCTTACAGGTGCTTGTCCCAGAGATGGCAGCGCGGGGGCAATGCGTCCAACTCCTGCACCGTCCTGTCCCTGCTTGGGGCCCCCTGCGCCTTCATGGGCTCGCTGGCCCCGGGCCACGTTGCTGAGTGAGTTGAAGAGGGAGCAGGGGAGGCCTGCCCTCAGGGTGGGGGGAAAGGTAGTCTTAATCCTGCATGGTGGCTGTAAGAAGTGGCTTGTGGCCACCAGACGTAGATGGGAGGGGACAGAGTGGAGCACCAGCATTCCCGAGCCTCCCTGGTGTGGCTTGTCCGCTCCTCAGATGTTAATGCTGCTCCCGTGAAAGGTTTCATTTCCGCAGCCCGGCTCCTTGGCCACTCTCTGGAGTCTGCTTCAGCTCCCCCACCTCCCCCTTCCTTGCTTCCAGCAGACTGCGGTGGATATGACTTTGCCCTTCTTAACTCCTTCATCCTGGCTAAGCTCAAGGCAGAGGCAGTTAGGGACATGCACCCGTCGTCCCTCAAGGATGCCCGGCAGCCATGGTCCGAAGGTCCAGGCTCACAGTTTCTTTCCCAGGTGAGGGGGCAGAGCCAGCGCTCGTGTCCCCATTATTCCCTGAAGCAGCAAGAGCATCCTGGCCAAGGGCACCTTGAAACCATGTGCTAAAGCTGGGCCTAGACCCATGCCTCCCAGCTCATGGCTGTGAGGCTGCAGCCCGAAAGGGGCCCATGTGCCATTCACTGTGGCTGTGGCAGGCACCCATGGGTTCTTTGACCTCTGGCACTGCTGACGCAGCGAGTGCTTATCAGACCCACACTTTGCCCGCTGTGGGCACCGGGGCAGGTTCCAGGTTACTGGCCTGTGAAGCACAGCCCTTTGAACCCTGCTTTAGGGGGCCTGCTGCAAGCAAGCGCCCAGCCCCCTCGGCCACAGGCAGGTTCTCTTCCTTGAGGAACTGGCAGGAAGCAAACTAGGGTGAGAGCCTGTCTGTGAGGTGGGACGGGACGGGGGACCTGGAGCCAATAGTTGGTCACTTATTAAACCCTCTTCAGCAGCTGCCTTCCCTCCCAGCTAGAGGCGAGACTGGTCCACACTTAGGGCCGTGGACCCACCTTTATACAGCAGTCATGCTGATGGCTGGGCCATTCCAAATTGTCCTGTGTGCTCCACAAACATTTAATGAGTACCTGCCTCGTGCCAGGTACTATGGGTACAAAAAGTTATTTGGTAAACCAACCAAACCATATTTTCTATGCTGTGGGAAAAGCTACTATTCAAAGGGTCCTTAAGGCGTAAGTCAGGGCCCAGTGTCCTGACTTTGTGTCTGTCACACACTGTTGAGTCGGCTCCACCTCCCGGTAACCCCACGGATGAGTGAAGCCCACCGTGTCCTGCCCTCACCAGCCCTGCTCAGCCCCTGCAGCTTCCTGTATGGAGTCGTTCCGTCTCAGACTCGGTCTTCCCCCTTTCCTGCTGCCTTCCCTTTTCCCAGAGTTATTGTCTTCACCTTTGCACAAATCTGTGTTGCCCAGCTTTGGCGTTGTCATAAATGGGGTCCACCGTAGTGAGAAAAGCTGGGATGGTGGTTGGATAGTGTGATGCCAGGTCTCGGGCACAGGACACTGACTTCCCAGCGACGGCCCCGCAGGGTAGGGCTGGCCTCCTTGTTCTCCTGCTGGTGCAGTCTTCCTGAGGGGCTGCCCCCAACTCGCCCTGATTGGAGGGGACTCTGGGCCAGAGTCCTGGACCAGGCCCACACCGAGCGGCATCAGGCACCGGGAGCCCATTCACTGGCCAGAAGGGCTCGCCTTGGTGCGAGGGGAGAGGGCAGTGAGCGCACCAAGGCAGTGCCACTTCCCGGCAGGGCAGGTTGGGGGTGAAGGGACTCACTGTAGGATTGGAAGGGGCCTCGGAGGGCAGAGTGCCACAGGGATGTGTGTGCGGAGGGCAGCCGGTGGGCAAAGTATCACCTTGGTAATTATTAATTCTGCTGGGCTTTGGCATGAAATAGGCCACAGTCCCCTCACCTGTGTCAGAGAGGGCACAGGCCGCCGGCCCCAAGTCCACCCCGGTTAACTGTATGAGTGTGAGCCCATCCTTCCCAGCTGGAGTCAAAGCGAAGGGCAGTGTCAGGGTTGGAGTTTGCCTCGTGTCAAGACCCAAGAGAATGCCCCTCGGTGTTTTCCTCACTGAGCTCCAGCCTATGCATCCCTGCCTCTCCCTCCTCCTCGCACGGCCTGTGACAGCTGGTGATTTCTAGGTCCCTCCTGGCCCCTCTGCTTGCAGCCTGGGTCCCTGTAGCCCTGCCAGCCCCCAAACCTTGTCAACTGCACCTCCCCCCGGGTTACTCTGCCCGGCAGTTTTGTCCTGGATGACTTCCGCCGCTACTCCGTGGACCTACGCCACGCGGTCATTCAGACCACAGGCTCCGTCCCCATCTCCACAGTCATCGTCAACGAGGCCAGTGGCAGCCGCACCATCCTGCACGCCTACAGGTTTGTACACCTGTCCGCGCCTCGCCAGCTGCCGCTGCCATCACTGGACTCCCAGAACAGGACATTCTCTTGGAAGAGGGGTGCTCAGCACCCACACGCTCCAGCACCCCTCCCCACCCGTGGGAGGTCCAGGCCATTTCTAGGCTCTAATTTGTGTCTCCTTGCCCTTCCCTTGGCTCGGGCTCCACCCCAAGTTTCCTGGTGGCTGACTTCAGGCAGCGGGGTGTGGACGTGTCTCAGGTGGCCTGGCAGAGCCGGGGAGACACCCCGTGCTCTTGCTGCTTCGTCAACAACTCCAGTGGCTCCCGTACCATTGTGCTGTATGACACGTAAGGCCCCCTGGCCTCGCCCTGCCACACCCACCAATCAGTTCCCTCACTTGCCACCACGGGCATCCCAGTTGCCCACCCTCTGTGGCCTCTCTCTGTACCAGAAATTGTCCGTATGCCCAACTGCTCAGTGATTTCTGAATTGTTTTCAATTAGGGAGGAGGAGGGTGGGGACGGGAAGGGCTTCGCTCTGCCTGGCAACTTGGCCTTGGTCAACGCCAAGGATGGGCAGGCGTGCCTGCACAAAATGTAATTTATGGTGTGATTCCTCTGTAATTCATCAATCAGCAGCCGGGGTGGGTGTGGGGAAATTGTTCTGAGGACAGAGGGACAGGAGATGAGACTCGAGCCATCCTCTGCCCTGGAGGGGACGCAGTGGGACTTCCAGGGTCAGCCTCAGAGTGGCCAGCCTGCAGCCTGGCAGCTGGGGTTTGGGGTTCAGAAAAGACAAGGCCCTGCTGAGTTCCCAGCATAATGCAGCCAGATCATACACCGCACCCCATCTACAGCCACTGATGAGGGGACATTGGGTCCGCAGATTCGGGCCGTCCAATGAAGTGCCAAACCGCAGGAAGAGGATCCCTTTAGGGCCCAAGGCACTGGGGGGAGGCGCTGGGGCTCAGATTCTTCTCATCTCCCCTAGACTCATTCTTGATGAATCTCAGGGGTTTGGTTCACTGAGAACCTAGTATCTGTCAGGCACTATGTTGGGGATGAACGGCCCCAGCTCAGCCACCCTGGGGTTCAGGCCACCCCAACCACCCAGCGTGACCACTGCATCAGGGGAGGGGGCAGTTCTCCCAGGACAAGCTTTGCAGCTGGCACTCCCTGGGCTCCGTGTGTCCCAGTGAGCGAGCGAGTGGGCACATGTGCTGGTGACAGATTCACACCGGGCAGCCCTGGTCATCTGCCTGTTAAGCAACAGCCTGTAGCAACTTCCAACAAGGACACAGCATGCGTATTCACAGGACAGGAGGCAGAGAGCTCCAGCCTCCATTCAGGCAGGACCACGCACATTGCATCACCTCCAAACACCCGCAGCAGGCCTGTGAGGCTGGGGGTTTGGGCCCCATTTACCGACAGGGAAGCAGCCTCAGGAAGGGCCCAGGCCACACAGCTGGTTAAGAAGGATTCAGCTCTGCGATAGAGAGGACATTGGCTGTGTGTAGGTCCCTGGCCAAGGAGAGTCAAGGTGGACCCTTGTGGGGTGTCCACCTATAACTTAGCCAAATATAAACTCATCCTCAAGTGCTAAGCTTAACCTCACAGTTGCATCACGTAGCTGTGAAACTCCCTGCTGTAGCGCCAGAAGTGAGTGGAACCAGACCGGAGCTCCAGGCAGAGTAGCCATGGCCTTTGTAGTTTCCCAGGGCACAGCTGGGAGCCAAGTGTGCTGCTGGCAAGGGAAATTCTGGGAATTGTAGTCCTTGGTGTTCGTAGGGCATTCTGGGAGGTATGGTCTCCAAGGCACACAACACTGGCTCCTTGACAGACAGGTACTGTTTGCCCTGAGAGAATATCACAGCCACAAACACGGGAAGGGGCATGCAAGCAGACTGCCTCCAATTCCCTGTCTGGATGGCGCCGAGTGGGGCAAGGAGTAGCTGTGAGAGCAGCGAGGGACAGAGTCGGTCCCAGAGCTGAGCCTCAGAAGCCTGTGCTGTAGACCCAGCTTCCCGCCGTGCTGGTCAGGGCCTGGCGTAAGGGCCCCAGCAACCCGCTGGGGGTCCTGGTCCCAGCCAACCTCACCACGCCACTTCTCTGTCCTTTCTGTCTTGTGACTTAGGAACCTGCCAGATGTCTCTGCTCTGGACTTTGAGAAGGTTGATCTGACTCGGTTCAAGTGGATCCACATTGAGGCAAGCCCTGCCCTGTACTTCAAAGGGCTCAACCCGCCAGCCCCTCCACATGTTTTGCCTCCTTGGTTTCTTTGAACCATGAAGTGCCTTAGTGATCAATAAATATGACCCTCTTATCCCCTTTCCATTCTACTTTATGTTTTTAGGTAGGAAACTAAGGCCCACAAAGGTTGGGTGACTTACTCAAGATCACACAGCAGGAGGTAGGCGCCAGAAGCAGGATGCTAACTCAGGCTGCCCTGGGCCCTGGGCCCTGGGCCCTGCATGCTGGCAGGAGTCTGGCTGTGGGAGGCCTGACCTCGGGGAAGCCCGACCCAGCTCCCAAATACAGGGAACTAGAATTTCCACTGCAAGAGAAGTTTTGGAGTCCAGGAGGGAGAAATTCCAAGAAGTCCTGAGTGCTAACCTTAGCCCTGTTGTTTAACTTATAAGGTCTTTAGGAAAATCTCTGTTTTATTCTTTAGTCTCCTCATCTATGAAATGGGAAGGCTTCTCAGTAAGGTCTCTAAGGTCCATGATAGCTCTAGAATTTTGAGATTGAGGATGGGGTTCCAGCCCAGCCTCCACTACACACACACACACACACACACCCGCTCACCCAGTTTCAGCAGAGAGGGAAGAATGAGCCAGCCCAGCTGGGCACTTTGCACCTGGTCCTGAGCTTCTCTGCCCTGCCCAGGGCCGGAACACCTCGGAGCAGGTGAAGATGCTGCAGCGGGTAGACCAGCACAATGCCAGGCAGCCTCCGGGGCAGAAGATCCGGGTGTCTGTGGAGGTGGAGAAGCCCCGAGAGGAGCTGTTCCAGCTCTTTGGCTATGGAGATGTGGTGAGTGTCCCATGCATCTCCTCCTGGCCACATCCAGCTAGTTTGGTTCTTAAAAGAAGCCTGAACATTCCCTTGTCTTGCCTGCCACTCCTGGATGGCTAGCTACTCGGGGCTTGGTGGTGTTAGCAGCAAGGGGACAAAGAAAAGAGGCCACTCCCTGCTTTGGGAGCTGGTGCAGCCATCGTCCATGGCCTAGGACAATTTCTCTTCTCCAGTGGGTGGGTAGGCATGAGGGTAGTAGCCAAATGGCTTAGACAGGGCAGTCCTTTGTGGAAGCATTTCCTCCCTGGGCCTCCTCAGTCTTTTTCTCTGTCCAATGAGAGGACAGGACTGTTCTCCAAGGTGTCTTTTGACTCTGGGATGAGTGACAGGCTGTGGGAGCCACTAGCAGGTGAAGGAGGATAGGAAGGGGACTTGCACAAGGTGATTTGAGCAGAGCAGGGTCTAAATGGAATCTGGTTGACAAGCTTAGCATCACTTAGCGGATGCTGGTTGCTCCGAAACCCTGGTGGGGGGTTAAAAGATATGGATGCCTGAGCCCCACCTCTGTTGTTTGGCAGAGGTCTCTGGCGGTTCTACTGTGCGGCAGGTGTTAAGGGAGCTTTTGAGCCCCTACCCCTTTGATTTTTAGATGAAGAAGCCAGGCCTGGAGGGCAGAGTTGTGTGGGGAAAACAAACAACAAAAGCAAAAATGCTCCTGAGACTCCGCAGTTTCTCTTGGCAATGGTAGATTTCACCCCAAGGTGGCGCTCAAGGCTCACTTTGGGTTTCCGGTCGGAAAGAAGTTCTTGGATCGTAGAACAAACGGACGGGGGCGTGTGTCACAGTTGACAGGGCCGTATTCTGGCAGGTCTTGAGCAAGGACGGAAACGTGTCCCCGCAAGGCGGTGGAATACTATCGTGGGGGTGGCCACGCTGGAGGAGCACAGTTATCATGCGGGGGCAATGCTAGGCTGCTGCTGGTGAGTGACTGAGCGGGGGCTGGAGTTAGGGTGATCGGCAGCCTGTCTTCCACTGCCCACAGGTGTTTGTCAGCAAAGATGTGGCCAAGCACTTGGGGTTCCGGTCAGCGGTGGAGGCGCTGCGGGGCTTGTACAATCGCGTGAGGAGAGGGTGAGCTGGGGAACCCCAGGAAGAAGAGCCGTGGGCACGGAGCCAGCCTGGGATCCCTGTCTGCCCTGGGGAGGGGGAGTGAGCCCTGGAGGGCTCGCACCCAGCTGAGCAGAGGGTCCTGCAGGGCTGTACTGATCTGTGCCTGGGCTGAGGAGGGCGCCGACGCCCTGGGCCCTGATGGACAGGTGCTCCACTCGGACGCTTTCCCGCCGCCCCGGGTGGTGGATACTCTGGGGGCCGGTGACACCTTCAACGCCGCCGTCATCTTCAGCCTATCCCAGGGTGAGTAGCCCAGCAGGAGGCACCAGGCCGGGGCCTGGCCCTGTGCAAAAGGCCAGGCTGAGGCAGCTGTTTGTCCCTCCCTCCCTTCCTCTAGGAAAGAGCATGCAGGAGGCGCTGAGGTTCGGCTGCCAGGTGGCTGGCAAGAAGTGTGGCCTGCAGGGCTTTGATGGCATCGTGTGAGTGCCCTGTGGCAGGAGGCTCGGCTCACACCCCCTTGGGGACCTCCATCACCAGCTACCAATGCACCTCCCCTCCATCCAGCCTGGGCAGAGGCAGGCGGAGGAGGGCTCCGCCTGCATCCTGGCCTCACACGCTGCAGGGCCACAGAGCCAATAAATTGCATTCCCCGGAGCCTGCTTCCTTCTGGCAGTCTGCTTGTCCTTGGTGTCCAAACTGCTCTGGTGGGGCTTCTGGACGCTTTGATGCTACAATCCCGCTCCCTCTTTTTCCATTCCCCTCACTCACCTCCCCACCCGCAGGGGAAGGGGCTACCCAGGCCAGAGCAGCAGGAATGGCCCAGGCTCGCCACCAGCTGTGCCCACAGTGGGGGCCCCGTTCAGGCATCCATAGTGCCAGGGAGCCGTCCTGGCTGGGGAGGACGCTAAAGTCTTTGGAACCCCTGGAGAACCTTCCAAACAACCACAGATCATGAGAAAAGCCCCTCTGGGCCGCCGTGCCGTCACAAGACTCCAGTTCTGTGGCCCCAGGAGTGGCTTGAGCTGACAACTTCACAGGCCAGTGGGCAGGAGGCCTACTCTGTGGTTTGGCGGGGCCTTTGCAGTCCAAAAAAAGCTTCCCAGTGACCGCTCCAAAGCCTGGAAGCTCCACCCTTGGAGCCACCTGGTAGTTAAGGCAGTGCCTCAGCGATATATGTGACCCAGGATTCAGACGTTGCTGTCCCTGGGGAGACCAGGGCTGACGCCATGGTGGAGCTGGAGCAAGGCATGTGAGGCCGCAGACAGAACTGAATTCAGATCTGCCTCTTAATTAGCTGTGTCATCTTGGGCACATTATTGAACTCAGTCTTCCTCGGTGCCTCCATCTGTCAAACGGAGCTAATTCCATCTGGTCAGGGAACTGTCGAGAGGATAAAATCCCACCATATACAAAATGCCCAGTATGACGCTGGCGTGTACTAGGTGGTTGATCAGCGGTGGATATTGTCAATATTATGGGATGGGGGAGATACAGCGTGATGGGGAAGAGCTGCCTCGAGCTGCAGGGGACACTGGGTGTCTGAACACCAGGTGAGGGGGGGACAGGCCTGCTTGGGCCCCAGGGAGACGGGGCGAGGCTGCGCTCTCTCCCGGGGTTGGCTGCAGCTGGCTGTGGCCTGATGCTCCCCTCTGCTGTGCCTCCACACCAGCTGGGGACGCCAGGAAAGCTGCACCCCTGCTCCCCAGGAGGCCAGGCTGGACCAGTAGACAGATGGCTCAGGGGGATGAGTTTTTTCATTCCTTTATTCAGCCCTCAACTTAGGGTCTCCATGAGCTGCACAGAAAGACCTGCCACGTAATGAGGCCAGGAAGGGGGCACAGAGGTGGTCCTTATCCCAACATACACACCCCACCCTTTGGAACTTATGTTCTGGTGCTGAGACTTCTAGGGGCACAAACCTGGATCCTCAAGGTTCATATCTCATCATTCTCCAGTTGTATAGCATGAACCTCAAAATCCTCTGGGGCGTTCTGAGACCCCAGCGTTTTTCCCAGAAGCCCATCTGCTTCCTTTCCAGTGTCCCTGGCTTCTGCCTGTCCCCCAGCCTCCCCTCCAGGGCTTGGGGCTTTTCCTCCAGCCTCCTGTACAGGCTCCCAGGACTCCTGTCTGGCCTCCACCTGTCCCCCAGCTTCTTCTCTGAGACCCAGGACTTCCTGTGCTTCTTGTCTTGATGGGCTTTTAGCCAACAGGGACTGTCTGCCCACGTCTTGTGGCTCCGAGCGTGTCAAGGCCTCTCCTGGAAAGTTGATGATCTCTGCAGGTGTCAGGAGCCCATCCCCGTTCAGGTCCTGGGTCTCCAGTACCTCATCCACCATCAGGATCACCTGTGGGAGTGCACCGTTGCTGTGGGGTCCACAGTGCCCAGAGGGGTCTCCCAGAGCCCTGACCCTCCCAGCGACTGCTGACCCCCACTCGCATCATGCAGGCTTTGAGCTTTCCTGGGGATTCACCACATGAGTCATGATGAAAAGGACCAAAGCCCCAGGGCGTTGGTCTCTGGGGGGAGGGAGAGGGTCCCCACCCAGCGGGGCTTACTGGGTTGGTGGTAGGAGAGTCAGCAGCTCCAGGGGCCAGAGCTGCTGTCAACATGGACAAGAGCTCCAGGCCATCCAGCTGTCCGCTCTGGTCATAGTCATGGAGGGCAAAGAGGTAGAGCAGGACTAAGGGAAAGAAGCCAGGTCAGAAGGGGCGTTAGGTGGAGGAGGCAGGAGGTGACAGGGCAGCCCACAGTCAGCCCCAGCTCTGGCCACCCTGAGCCGCCCGTCTACCAGGCCCCTCAGCCCAGCCCTTACCCTGCTCCCGGGTCATGTGCTCCGGGTCCTCTTCCATCCTCTTCAGTCCCTTTAGGTAGCTCTGTAGGAGTCTGATGAAAAGTGGCAGGTCAGCCCACGAGAGGCTGGCCCGCCGCCTCCAGCCTCACTCTCAGGCCCCCCGCCCAGGCTACTCACCGGAGCTGCTCCTGGCCTGGCTGGAAGGGGTTGGGAAGGGGCTGCTGCTGCACCTCGGGGTCCAGCCTGAAGCAGGGGGAAGGACCGGACTTACCAAGAGCCTCGCTAAGGGCCCAGCGTGCTGGCTTTCCTCCCCCAAACTCCTGGCAGAGTTCTCTTTCCCAGACCTTATGGGGAGGAGGCCCTTCTGGCGTCCCCAGAAGCAGAACCTTCCTCCTTTGGACTCTGTGTTTGCAGACTCCTAACTGAGTGGGAAGGGAAAACCCCCATAAAACATCCGGTCAGATAGAGGCCGGATGAGGCCACAGCTAATGATACAAGTTGGAGACCCAAGACAACAGCGCAGTGAGAGGCAGCAGTTCTGCTCTGACGCTGACCCCAAGGGGCGGGTGTCTGGCCAAGCTCAGTGGCACGGCCACTTCGATAGTGAGCTGACTGACACCATGGCACAGACTGGACTCTTCAGTCCCCCAGGCTGAGGGCATGCATGTTGGTTTTGGAGCTTCAATCTGCTCAGGGTCTCTTGGTCAGTCTTGGCTCTCGGTTCTGAGCAAGGCTACCTGTTTGCCCAAGGCAATCCAGACCTGTGACAGCAGCGAGCTGGCAAAAGCTGCTGCAGCAACTTGGGTCACCGCTGCCAGCCCTTGCTGTTCCGTGTCCGTCCCCCACCCCACCCAGCATGCACACTGCACAGGCTCAAGAAAAACAGTCAAAGGAAGTGGAGATGACGTGCTAACCACCCTTCGGAGCTCCCACACTCAGATAGGTCCCCATAAGAGGATGCAGCCCCTGCCCGGATCACAGCTTCTCCCCTGAGCTCCACACCTCACTGGAACGCCTGAGCTCCAAATGCATCCAGCGAACACTCACTGCATGTCCACTTCTTGTGGGGCACTCTAACAGGCTCAAGGCAGAGAGGTGGAGGGTGGCGGGAAGGGTCACAGAGGTTAGGAGGGTACACCCTAGCCTGCCCCCCAAGGGTCCCACCACAGCCTCCGACTCTCCAAAGGCTCCTCGCTCCCCACCCATGGCCCCAACCTCTGAATCCTGTTACCTCGTGGTTCCATCCTTGGGGGCAGCCCGACTCAGGGGCAGCAGCAGTAGCACTAACAGTCTCATTGTCGGAGGTAGCATCTTTCCTGGGACTGGAGCAAGTAACATCTTTCCTAAGACCAGAGTTAGGGAGTCAGGGGGGAGGTGTCTGCCACAGAGTGGGGACCAGTGGGTCACACAGGAACGTCTCTCCCTGCCTCCACCTGCAGCCCAGGCGAGGACACAGGGACATCAGTGATCCCTGCGGAGCTCTGCTCAAAATAAACTTTACTCCAGATCCAGTGTGTGACACGCACAGAGGCCTGCTCTGGCGGAGGTGGCGCTGTGGCCAGAGCCCCTCCCCACAGCCCGTTCCTCTTGCCCTGCAGCCCCCGGGGTGCTCACAGGGAGCCTGGTTATGTCTGATCCAGGTTCGTCCACTGGGTTTACAGACGGATGCTAGCTCAGAGAGGTCAAGAAAAAGGCCAAATTGGAAGTGCAGAGTCACAAAAAGACCAAGACTTAAACAGAGAGGCATCCTGTTAGTTAGCATTTATTAAAATCTCACCAAAGAGCAAATCAAACGAGGTTCAGACTCCTTGAAATAGGCCTAAACTCAGGTAGGGGATTGAAAACACAATAAACCAGGGTCAAGCCAGCAGCGGCCCAGGAGCTGCTTTTTACCAAATACAAACAGGAAATCGGTTGCCAATACGAAGGAAAAAACAAAAACTTCCCCTTATACCTACCTTGCGTAGGCCCACTGGCAACACAGGCCCTTGATTATATGAAAACAGCCAAATAGAGAGCGGCTCGGTCAAGACCACGGAGTGTGAGGCTTTCTGCTCAGTCTCGGGCTGTGTACACACCATGTGAGTTCCTGAGGGAGCAGACGCCCAGCAAAGCTGAGGCCTGAGACTCTGCGCCCACCTCTAGGTAGACCAATCACTGTGTGCATGGGCTGGGCAGAGGATGAGGAGCCCTTGGACACCGTGCCCTACAGTGGGCTGGCACTGAATTTCCCTGGAGAAAGGTCCAGAGATGTGAGCAGAGTCTGAAAGAGTTCCGTGACCCTGACAACGTTCAGAACCACTGCGAGGGTGCGCATCTGCTTCCTGAGAGACGCGAAAGAGCAGGGAGCATCTGGTTGACGGGAAGATACACGTGGGAGCCTGGCCATCACTGGGCCAGCAGAGCTGCCCCGAGGAAGCAGCTGCAAAACATGGAAGTCCCCAGGAAGGTGAAGCTACTGAGAGTCCCAGAAACTGTTTGCAGTTTTCTATGCATATGCGGACCGCAAAGGATATCCTGAGTCTACACAGTTGGTCCACAGTCCCCAGAGGCTAAATGGGTGCTGAAGCCACAGCTGCCCCAAAGGGGTTTGCGAACATTGGCTGGCAGCCTAGGTCCGTGCGCTTTAGTCGTAGCGCCCAGGGGAGGAGACCAGGTCTTGGGTGCACGCCAGGGAGGCCGCTGGAACTGAGAGCTCCATAGTAACTGGGAACCCTCGGAGGTCCCACCCCAGTGGACACCCTTCAGTAAAAGAGGGGCCTAGAAAAACAGCCAGGCCTCCATGACTGGGAGAATGCTCCTAAATGTTCCAGTGCAAGTAACTCCAGAGCTGGATAAAAATAGAAAGTATCTTTTCAAATGCAATGAGCTGGCAAGAAAATAAGAAATTTTCAGTACTAAAGCACACTGAAATCAGTAATCCCATGGAAAAGTCAGCTTGAAGTCGGCTTTCACCTCAAGAGTATCCAGCAAACCAAACCCCAGTGAACTTGGAGCTATCAGTTTGGGTGCAATAGAGACCAGGGGGAAGGCCTGGACGGAAGCAGTGGGAGGAGACTAATAGGAGATTCCCCTCGTAAAGCTGGGATTCAAACGATTCAAATTTCGCCTAAGGGTGAACAGAAAGTAAATTTACCCTGAAGAAGAGCATCACAGAGTCATGCTTATTTTGACTTTTGGTGCTGGGTAGAAAGGAGACAAATATGTTCCCTGAGAATTTGTAATAAGCCTGCTCCAGTGTGGGTTTGGGGCCAAGTGAGCGCTACCTTTGTGGTTCAAGAAACTAGAGCGGGTCATTTATTTTGAAGTGGTACCTGGTTGATAGTACCCCCAGCTGACTGACAGAAAAAAAATGTACACCTTGTCTGATAGAACACAACTCCAATCCAGGGCTCAAAGAAATTCCATAGGTAAAGTTTCAAGGTGCATGAACTCACAGCCAAAAGTCATAAATATACAAGGAGATAAGACACTGTGAATAAGAGCCAGCTAAATAAGAACAGGCCAAACCAGATTTGCAAAGACTAAGGATATTGTAATTATCACACACAGAATATAAAGAATATTTAATATGTTTTAAGAAATTAAAGAGAAGGTTTAAACTATGGGAAAGGAATAACAGCATTAGAACAACCAGTAGATTTGAAAATGAACCAAATATAACTTATACAAATAGAAAGGAAAGATTGATTTAAAAAATGCAATGAGTGGTTAAACAGATGATGTGAGAATTAATGAAATGGAAAATAGATGTGAATATATTATCCAGAACACAGTCTGTGGGGGAGGAACAAAACTTCCGCTACTCTCTAGTTCTTCTAGCTGGTCTAATAATCAAATAGACATGAGACAGACTAGCAAGAGAAAATAACCAAATTTAATATATACAGCCCTGGCTGGTGTAGCTCCATGGATTGCGCACCGGCTTGTAAAGCAAAAGGTCCCAGGTTCAAATCCCAGTCACGGCATATGCCTGGGTTGGGGGCCAGGCCCCAGTTGGGGGCATGTGAGAGGCAACTCTCTCTTTCACATATCCATGTTTCTCTCCGTTTCTTTCTTCCTCCTTTCCTCTCTCTCTAAAAATAAATAAACAAATATCTTAATACAAACACACATATGTATATACATATATATATGGGAATTTCACATACATGAGACAGTCAGAGACCCCACATGCAAGGGAGTTTCAGAGAAAGAAAGTGAGATCAGGCATATAGAACATTCGGAGCTAGGGAGGAGGTAATACATGTTGGGGCTTCAAAGGGTCCTTGCAGGAAAGAAGAGCAGGTGTTCGGTAATCAGAAGTTCATCCTGCCCAGTACATAGGTCAAAAGAGGTTATCTCGGATACTCTCCCACTGTGAGCCAGGTCCCTCATTCAGATCCTTCCAGGCCGTCACCAGAGGGCAGAGTTTGTCCTGAGCTGAAGCTGAAGTTGGCCTCTAGCTTAAAACAATCGGCATATCACAGAAGTACCTAGTTCTGAACCTCCACAAGTGCACTGAATTAAAGACACACAAAGTATTTTTTAAAGTTGAGGTGGCATGGAGGATGGAGGAGATGATAGAGAAAATTGGGTAGAAGTGGTACTTGAAGAGGTAACAGTTGAGATTTTTCCAGTATGTTGGAAAAATGCTGATACTCCAGCCCAGGAAGCTCCAGCCCCAGGAAGCTCCCAGGCAAATTACATGAACAGAAACACATGCCTAGAGCTTTTGTGAAACCAGAGAACACCGAGAAAAAGAGATGGCCTTAACGGCAGTCAGAAAAGACAAGTCACCTAAAAAGGAGGATCGACAGCTGACTTTTCAGCAGTGACAGTGATGCCAGTATGGTAATAGTAGTAGTACAGTATTTTAATTTGTTGGGGGAGGGGCAGGGAAATTGCCATTCTAGAATTCTAGTCTCAGTGAAATTATCTTTCAGAAATTGGGTGGAACAAAAACAATTTTAAATAAATTAGAGGACTTACCACCAACATTCCTTCATTTAAAAAATTCTGGGGGTGGGTGGGTGGGTATAAGGGGACTAAATGGTAATGGAAAAATGCAATAAAGATTTTAAAAAAATAAAATTCTCATTTTGAATTCTTAGAAAAATTCTAAAGGATCTATTTCAGAAAAAAGAAACACGATCCTGTTAGGGTCCCAAACTATGGTAATTACGTTAATATATGAGGCAAAAAAGGTGCAGTGCACTACACTATTAGACTACAATAAGATATAAGGTGATGATGGTTGTTTGGGAAGAGAATAGACATACCAATCAACTTTGTTAAATAAACATGTAAACATTTTAAGGATAATCACTAAAATAAAAAAAATAGAATTGAATACATGACCTCAAACCAGCATAGAATAAAATGAATGAAATTTTTAAAAATCAATTCACCCTGGGTGGTGTATCTCAGTGCATCGAGTGCTGTCCTGCAAACCAAAGGGTCCCTGGTTCGATTCCCAGTCAGGGCACATGCCTGGGTTGCAGGCCAGGTCTGGTGTGGGGGCACATGAGAGGCAACCATAGTGGATGTTTTTCTCCCACTCTTTCTCCTCCCTTCTCCTCTCTCTGAAAATAAATAAAATCTTTTTTAAATTAAAAAAAGTAAATGCAGAGGAAGTCAGAAAAAGAGAAGAAAGAAACTAAAAAAATAAAAAGTAAAAAGGAAGGCAAATAGAAAGCAAAATAATGTGGCAAATAGATTCAAATAGATCAGTAATCACAATAAATATAAATTGTATACACTCATTAGTTAAGAAATAAAATCACCAAAATGTATGTAAAACAAAAATAATTATATGCAATTTTCAAGAGACTAACTGAAAAAATAAAGACTCAGGTTGAAAGAAAAAAAAGGAAGAAGGATATATAAAGCAATAGTAGACAGAGAAAGCTAGTGTAGCTTGTTTTTTTTAAGCTTTTATTTATTTATTTTTAGAGAGGGAGAAAGAGTGGGAGAGAAATATCAATGTGTGGTTGCCTCTTGTAGGCCCATGCTGGGGACCAGGCCCACAACCCAGGCATGTGCCCTAACCTGGAATTGAACCAGTGACCCTTTAGTTAGCAGGCCAGTGCTCAATCCACTGAGCTATACCAGCCAGGGCTGGTGTAGCTTTAATGACATCATTAAACTAGAATTTAGGAAGAAAAGTGTTATAGAGATAAAAGAGTTTCATTACAAAATGCACAAAAGTTTAATCCCCTAGGAAGAAACAATTCTGAACTTGGATGTATCTAATAACACCTCAGAGTGTCTGGTATCGTCAGCCTGGCACAGCAAAAACCATTCTGCGGGAGACCTCCTGCAGCCAACCAAAAGAGAACGACCCCCAAAAAAAAAAAAAAAA